CACACAGAGAGAGCACTAATACACAGATACAACTTGTTCAGTCTGTATAATGTGACTTGTGTGTACGCACCTTCTGTTTTGACCACTTGGCATTGGATGACCAACTACTTCCGTCCATATTCTTCATAAACTACATGTTTTCCTGTTTCTCAGCCTTTGTTTACGACATTGCCTTACACAGAATTGCCCTTAACTTTCTCATTTCCAATTCAGACTGAAGCCCTACGACCTTCATGAAATCCTAAGAATCGCATCTAACTCTCTTGAGAGACAGCGCTGGGCTGTGCAATGCAGTTGTTGGTTGTCGCATGTGACGAGGTGTAAGCTAACCAAGGTTACAGATCTCATTCCTTGATGATCCTACCTATAGTTCAGCCTTCAACCATCACATGTAGCTGGTGGCTGCTCCTCTAGAACACCCCCACCAACTGGGGAAGTCCTATTGGATGGAGACATTCAAGGGCACACGTGTATGGCTCAACTCAATACTAAATCCCAATTTGAGTCTTGTTCTCCAGTCACACCACACTTTCAGAATAAAGAAATAATAATAATCATAAAGGAGTCTGTGTTCTTCATTATGACTCAAACAGTGCTGGGTGGAAAGGGCATCCTTAGGAAAAACACTGGATGGCAATTAGCATGAAGAGACGTCAGTGGATCATGAGAACATGGCAGCCATGATATGACTGGAAAAAAGGTACAGACTGGATAGTTTGGGGGCAACAGATGTAGGGATTCATCTATTCTGGAAGAACTTGGGGGGGGGGCGTTCTGTGTGGTGAGAAATGTTCTTATGTAGTCAGAAAAGAGCTTACCCCAATTATTGGAAAGTATCTGTCAATAAGTCGGCACCTGGTCAATGAAACTATCAAAAGGAGTCAATGCATTGTTATATACAGAAGCATCTGTGCCAGCATCTGGCTTCACACACAAACAATGAAAAGTTATCATTCGATATTGGGGCACCTTGGCTTGTGATTCTTTTTGAGAAAGAAACTGGCCTGTGTCTGAAGCAATTTCCTGGATGTGATGAGGCTGTATAACCTGTACCATACCTGCTCATCTCCTCAGCATGTGACAACTGTGAATTGTAACAAATTTCCAGCACTTGACTCATGAGAATAGACTTGTAAAGGGTGTGTTTTATCTTTCAGCAATCTCCAGGATGAACGTTTCTTAAAGGTAGATCCACTTACTATCGACCATTTAATTAGATGTGGGTATAATCACTTTGCAGATATATCCCTTTTAATCCTCATGGAGACTATATGAACTAGGTATTTTTAGTCTCACTTTTTTTTGGTCAATAAAACTTACTTTTGTATGGATATTTTATGTGTCATTGGTTATATGGGAAAGAATAGAGTTGGGATAATAACTGAGATAGAGTCTCTGATTCCAAAGTCTAAGTTCTGAGCCACTTTGCTGTGGGTTATTTACCTCAGTGTTGACAAAACAGTGTTATAAGGGGGACCAGTATGTGTCAAAGCAGGGCACAACCTGGCCTCATAATATCGGTCCATGTTATTCCCTTTTCAGTAGTTTCTTGTCTACCTGAGGTTTTTCCTGAAATTCATTTCAACAAAACTTTATCAGAAGAGATTCTGAGTTACACAAATGCTGCCCTGAATCTCAGGGAAGAATATAAACCTCCAGTTCTCACCCTTAACACAGAAGCCAAGGTGAGGGGAGGGAGAAATGCTTAAAAGCGGCTGCACAGTGTGCCTCCAGCATCCTGGAATACGGATGTCCTGATGATCCCAAAGCATACTCCCTCAATGCCAACTTCCTATTGGTGCTCCATTCTTGGACATCTATTTCAAAAGGTTTTACAAACCAACAATCTCAATTCTGATGCAAACCATTGGCTCATGACCTCTTCCCAGCATCTTCCATGCAATTGGCTCCTTTGCCATTATAGGGACTCAGGCCAGTTACCTCGTCTCATTGTATGGTGTGTGTGTGTGTGTGTGTGTGTGTGTGTGTGTGTGTGTACAGGGTGGCAAGAGATCCGCACTGGGTGTCTTTCTTCATTGCAGTCCATTTTATTAAGACAGGATCTCTCATTGTACATAGAATATGCCAACTCAGGTAGAGAGGTTGGCCAGCGAGCTCCATGTATCCACCTGTCTTCCTTTCCTCGCTCCTGTGCTGAGGTTACAGGGTTACACTGTTAAGCCTGGCTTTTATTTGTACTGCATCTAAACTCAGGATTTCATGTTTGGGCAACAAGAACTTTACCCACTTGAAGCTTCTCCTTAGCTCTAGATGCCCTTAATTAAAAAAAAATTACTTACTATTTATCTATTTGTATGTGTATATGACAGGAATGCACCATAGTCAGAGGAAACTTGGCAAAGTCTTTTCTCTGCTTCCACTCTTAGATGGGCTTTGGCTACCAAACTCAGATCTTTTGGCTTGGTCACAAGCGTCTTTACTGCTGAGCCATTTTTCCTGACCTGGGCTAATTTTTTCTTTATTCTCCTTTTACCCTTACATTCAATTCATCACCAAATGCAATCAACTCTCCCTTGAAACCGACCCATCCTGGTTATACAGAGCACTTCTCCTGTTCAAACCATCATGTACACTCACCTGGATCTCTGCTAACTCACTAATTAGCACAGGTCTTGACCCAGTTAGAATGGTGTTCTCCTAAGAAAAGGAGATTAGTGGAAGGACAACATACAAAGGGGGGAACATCTGAAAACACACGGAGACATCACTCCTCTACAAACCAAGGAGAGGGACCTAAAAAGCAACCCGTTCTGCCAACATCTGAGTCCAGTACCAGTGCTTTCTAAAATGGTAAGACAACACATTTGTTATGTAAACCACTCTGTCTATGGTATTGTGATACAGTGAGCTTAGAAAAACTAGTATTATTTCATAGCATGTTCTACAACTAGGTAGAACAGGCATTGTTTATGTTATGTTCCCAGCCAAAGTTCTTGTAGGGAACACAGGCGTATGATGAACTATTGCAATGCCAGTGCAGCCAATTTTAACAAC